GAGAGAGAGAGAGAGAGAGAGAGAGAGAGAGAGAGAGAGAGAGAGAGAGAGAGAGACCAACCGTTTCACTGATTGACCAACCGATTGACCGACCAACACCAACAGACCAGCTGACGGGCCGGCTGGCTGACAGACAGAGGGTCAGAATGACAAAGAGAAGGGAGAGAGAGGACGAGGAACTCGAGACAATGAAAGAATCGGAGACAGTTTATGAGATCGAATCTGATGATTACCATCTCTCCAGAAGTGATGAATTATAGTATAACCAGGAGACTATGAGATGGGAGTTTGATGTTCACCCTCTGCAGACGTGATGAATGTCAGGCACTCACCCCTAACCCGTGGTTAATAGTTTGGTGGTATGAATAATGGTTGTGTGGCCAAGGTTTACCTACTCTTGACTCGTTAAATAGACTCGTATTAACCCAGTATTGCTGGCAAACTTGGAGATAATATGATGTAGCAAGGAAGAGGCTGAAGGTTGATGTGTGCTTCCCTTGTGCGGCTGGTCATTATTCAGTGAATGACGCGTTTTTTGTTTTGGCTCAGCTGGGGCAAGGTCAGTCTTACGTGGTTTGTTCATCTCTGACTATGAAGTGGAAGGCTCAACGGCCAGCAAGACAGAGTCTGGGAAAGCTGGACCTTGCCCCCGCTCGATGTCTATCACACAAGAATGGATTTTTCTGCCAGCCTACCTCTCCCTCAGCAAAAGAACCTTCCCTAAACCACTTTCGGCGGCTCTGGAGGACCCCTTTTTTTCTCTCCACGTTTTATGTTATAGGGGAGGTGGTGCTCAGCTCTGTGCTACTGTCTGGTAGACCCTCTGTTTTCTGTTTGACAATTGGATCACAGATTCATCTACTCGTTTCTTGGGCCTCGCTGCACTACTCTCGAAATGCACAAAAGACAAAATTCATGGTGGTGTATCTTTCCATCTTCTAGCACAAGATTCACTCTCGTTTTGCACATTTCGAGAGTAGTGCAGCGAGGCCCCTTTTCTGCCTATCCCCAGTTCTGAAGTGTGACCCGTCAGAGCAGTTGGAGGAAAATGCAGCTATTCTGTTTCTTCTGTTTCTTCTGTTTGTTTGTTTGTTTGTTTGTTTGTTTGTTTCACACTTTATGCTCTTTTTCCCCTCCCGTCTTCTGTCCCTCCTTTCTTCTTAAAAAAGGGGCAATGACCTTGATATATGATCATTTCAACTGACCCTCCCCCGTTTATTCATTTGGAACTTCTCAGGTTTAGGGCCTCGCTGCACCACAGTCGAAAGGCGAAAAAATTCGACGGCTGTCAGGACAAATTTCGACAGCCTCCATTCGACAGTTTGCCCCCCCTTCGCCACACAGCACGGTAGAGTGCACGCACTTGTGAATGCAAGAAGGAAAAAGACGAACGCGCCAGAGGTTACGACAAGCATTAGTGCATCCAGACCTTACCCCCCCTCACCAAATTTCGAAGAGAAGTCGACGGCGCAGCCGAGGAGTGTCAAAAGTATGGGAGTAGCAGGCTGGGGATTCAACAACTTTCGACAGGAGCTGTCGAGAAGCATGCTCTGACAACTGGAGAATTTTTTTCCCGTCTCCGACTTCGACAGCCTGTGTGCCGAAGAGAAACTGTCAAAAATTGCATTTTCGACAGTGGTGCGGCGAGGCCCTTAGGGTTTGAATTTTGAATTTTGAACCATTCAGGGGTGAAGTAACTGAGGGAGGCCAGTTGGCCAGTTGGCACACACTTGAGAAAGTTCTTTAATCCTTTTTATAATTAATTTATTATACAGTGTAATCAGTGAGGGGATTCTGCAGACTGTTGAGGGTTCAGCCTCCTGATGAGTCGGTGAAACTCCGACGAAACAGTTTGTCACAGCCCCTCGTTTGTTGTCCTCTTCTCTCTCTCTGCCTACGGTTTACCGGGCAGTTC